TATCAAATTCTTTTTTTTTTTGGCATTTTCTGTAAAACCACATTGGAATACATGTGCAAAAGTACCACAGTGTGCACCAGACAACTTAATCAGATTAAAAAGGCCTAAAAGTACATGAAATAATTGTCACGGTGAAATCTATCAATACAAGCTGTTTCAATACAAGCGCAAGATCAATACGTTTGTTCAAACTGATAACAGCTCGTAATGGAAAGAAACTGTCAGTATATCGAGATCTCAGTGCATCTCAGTGAACAATATATTCTGCCAGAGGGAAGAAGCTGGAACATGGCTTTTCCAGGAGCCAGAGGAGTCATTGATTATTCTAAGAGCTCGGTTTAAGAGTCTGGATTCATAAAGAACCTCCAGAACAAGCAGCTCACAGTCCTCTTTCAGAGCGGAGCACCTCTCTCCCGTCTCTCTATGGTCTCTCTCTTTGGCCTCTCTCTGGTCTCTCTCTCTCTATTCTCTCTCTGGTCCCTCTCTCTCGTCTCTCTTTGGTCTATCTTTTGTCTCTCCCCTGGTCTCTCTCACTGGTCTCTGTGGTTTCTGTCTGGTCTTTCTCTTTGGTCTCTCTCCCTGGTCTCTCTCTCTGTTCTCTCTCTCTGTTCTCTCTCTCTGGTCTCTTTCTCTCTGGTCTCTCTCTCTCTCTTTGGTCTCTTTTGTCTCTCTTTGGTCTATCTTTTGTCGCTCTCTGGTCTCTCTCTTTGGTCTCTCTCTCTGGTCTCTCTCTTTGTTCTCTCTCCCTGGTCTCTCTCTGTCTCTCTCTCTGTTCTCCCTCTCTGGTCTCTCTCTCTGGACTCTCTCTCTTTGGTCTCTTTTTTGTCTCTCTCCCTGGTCTCTCTCTTTGGTCTATCTTTTGTCTCTCCCCTGGTCTCTCTCTGGTCTCTCTCTTTGGTCTCTCTCTGGTCTCTCTCTTTGGTCTCTCTCTCTGGTCTCTCTCCTTGTTCTCTCTCCCTGGTCTCTCTCTGTCTCTCTCTCTGGTCTCTCTCTCTGGACTCTCTCTCTTTGGTCTCTTTTTTGTCTCTCTCCCTGGTCTCTCTCTTTGGTCTATCTTTTGTCTCTCCCCTGGTCTCTCTCTCTGGTCTCTCTCTCTGGTCTTTCTCTCTGGTCTCTTTCTCTGGTCTCTCTCTTTGTTATCTCACTCTGGTCTCTTCAGTCTCTCTGTTCTCTCTCTCTGGTCTCCCTCTGATCTCTCTCTGGTCTCTCTCACTGATCTCTCTCTCTGTTCTCTTTCTGGTCTCAGAGCTACACAAAAATACACCTTGTGTTGCCTGCTTTTTTCTTAAAAAAGCACAAATTGAAAAAAATGATCTCATGTTTATTTTCTAATTCTTCATTTCATATAATTTCCATTTACTGGATTACTTTTTTAGAAATACAGTTACATTATCATTGATCAATAAGGGGGAGGCATTGTTTAGTCACATATATGTTCAGCCCTAATGAAAAGTTAATATTTATGAAAGAATTATCCAGTTCTGCAGAGTCCAGAGCGGGGGGGGTGTGTGGGAGGGTAATGAGGCTGATTTAGGACCTGTGGACTTTACGAGGCTGTAACTCTGGGTTTTGGGGGAGATTCTGTGGAAGAAAAGTGATATTTGGGTAAAGATCAGGCCGCCGCTTCTCTCATCCATCTCCGCTTCATTAACGAAGCAGCTCGTAAAGCAGCGACACAGACATGATTTCCACTTTTGTCTTTGTCTAAATCAGCTCAAGGATAAAGAAATGTGTCAAAGAGATCGAGAGTGGTCCAAATGATTGAACAACATTGGAGTAGAATCGAGAGTATTCTTTACACAAATAAGCTAAATAAACTGGATACAAGTCACAATATATTTTAGTTGTTGGAATTTTTTTTATTATTGGAATTAAGGTAACCTGGCCTTATCCATCCGTACAATCATTTCACTGCATGTAACGTCTGGGTCTGGTCCCTAGGTTAGCGAATACAATCGGTTGAATTTCGACCGACCATTTTAGCGAGCGCGGGAGGCGGGTGTTGTAGTTAGATGTGGGTGACGTCAAGAGTTTGCGCCGAACGGGCAGTTTGTTGTTTGGCAATGGCGAAAAATGCGATAGTAAAGTATTATGGTCTGGTTCTATCAAGAAATTGAAGCCGGAGCAAAAGGAATGTTTAGCAAATGTAATCGCTGGCAAAGATTGTGGCGCTACTCCCCACGGGCTCCGTTAGCAGCAAAGGAGATGGCTAGGCTAAATGCTAGCAATCTGCAAAAGGAGTTAACCCCTCCCACCTTGTTAACTTAGTACGAAATGTAATTTGTACTATGGTGTGATACGACAAGGCGGTTAGGGTTCTTATTATTGAGCATCTTGCAATTGTCCTGTCGCTGTAACAGACCTAATATTGTGTTTTTTTCACCCATTTAGTAGTAGTACCTCAATATTTATCTTAGCTAATTGACTTAAAGATAAATTTACCCTTTTAACTACGAACCCAGTGATCCAGACAGTCAGGAAAAGTACATTTTGGTTTGTGCAAATGAGGATAATAACCTCAAACAGTGGAACCAGACATTTCCGTTCTGCACACGATATGTTTTTGATGTAATTATGAAATCCCATTATAACAAATTAGCATAATAACTTCCTAAGTGTATTGACAAAATGGACTCTATTTCTGCTGAGGAACTTACTTGGAAACTGCACAAATTACAATAGTATTTAATAATAATTGTACAAAATTACAAAAATTAAAATATGAGGCCAAAAAATAGTTGACAGACAAGATGAGACCAGAGAGACATGTTCAACGCGTTTGGTCTGAACGCACCATTAGATAGAAGACTTGGATCGTTATCAGTGAATTATGAGACACAAAATGCTAGATTGTAAGCTGACTGAGCTCCTTAGGAAACGGGCATCGATGGAACAGAATATGTCTATAGAGTTATCACAGAAGCATCACCTGTTGCTGGTTCAACACTGTTTCTTCCTGGGATGACCTTTAATTAAATCCAATAAAAGCTGCAGTGAACCAGGACTAAACCAAAGAACCTCTGAAGTACCTCGGAAAGATAGATAGATAGATAGATAGATATATACTTTATTGATCCCGAAGGAAATTGTGCACTCGTCCCTTGCTCGCAATCATACAGCAATACATACACAGGTAAGAATTATAGGATGCAAAAGTTAAAAACGAGACAATAAATACATTAAAAACAATAAAAACACATTAAAAGAGAAGTTAAGGCACTGCAAAACAATTCTCAAGACACCCCACCCCCCTCCCTCCCCCCCCTGCTCCTCCCTGAAGTGGCTTTGTTATAGAGCCTGATGGCGTTGGGGACAAAAGAGTTTTTTAATCTGTCCCTGGAGCACCTCAGAGAGAGGAGTCTGGAGCTCATGGTGCTTCTCTGGCGGGAAAAAAATGAATTCAGTGGGTGGCTCTGGTTGGACAAGATCACCCTGATCTTGGAGAGCGTTCTTTGCTCTACCACCTCCTCCACTGAATCCAGACCCAGACCCACCACAGAGCCCGCCTTTCTAATGAGCCGGTTCAGCCTCTCAGTGTCCCTCTTTCGTGCACTGCCCCCCCAACAGACAACTGCATAGAAAAGGACACTAGACACAACAGACTGATAAAACATGTAGAGAAGCTTATCACAGACCCTGAAAGATGCCAATCGCCTCAAAAAGTACATCCTACTCTGCCCCTTCTTGTACACAGCGTCCATGTTTGGCTGCCCAGCTCAGCTTGTTCTCCAGCTGCAGCCCAGGTACTTATAGGTGGAAACCACTTCCACCGCAGTTCCCTCGATAATAATGGGCTGCAGAGAGGGTGGTGCCCGGCGAAAGTCCAGCACCACCTCCTTAGTTTTGGCTGAGTTTAAAAGAAGCTTGTTCTGCTGGCTCCACTCCACAAAGTTCTCAACCAAGCCTCTATACTCCCCTTCATCACCCCCCCTGACGCATGCCACGATTGCAGTGTCATCTGAGAACTTCTGCATGTGGCATGTCTCAGAGTTGTAGCAGAAGTCACTCGTATAGAGGGTGAAGAGGAGGGGCGAGAGCACAGTGCCCTGCGGTGCACCCGTGCTACAGGTCACTGTTGAGGACCTACAGCCTCCCCCCCCTCGCACGTACTGGGGCCTGTCGGTTAAATAATCCGTGACCCAACGCACAAGAAGAGGGTCCACATTCATGATGGTGAGCTTCTCCTGGAGAAGGATGGGATGGATGGTATTAAAAGCACTGGAGAAGTCAAAGAAAAGCATCCTCACAATGCACCCTCCCACATCCAGGTATGTGAGGGCACGATGTAGCAGGTAGAGGACTGCATCCTCGACCCCCACCCTCTCCTGGTAGGCGAACTGAAGAGGATCCCTCGTCGTCTCCACTTGGGCCGCATGATCTGCAGGACCAGTCGCTCAAAAGTTTTCATCACATGTGATGTAAGAGCGACTGGCCTATAGTCATTAAGCACCAGAGGGCGTCCCTTCTTGGGGACCGGGACGATGCAAGACGTCTTCCATAGAGAAGGGACTCTCCCGCGCCGCAAACTTAGGTTGAAGACCTGCTGTAGGGGGTCTCCCAGCTCAGCAGCGCACGTTCTCAGTAGCCTAGGACAGACCCTGTCAGGACCAGCAGCTTTCCTTGGGCGTATGAGTTGCAGCTGCCTCGTCACCTGGTCTGCTGTGATGGTAACAGGAGTTGAGGTGTGTGTGACAGGCACCTGAGGGAGCGTAAAAGAGGCAAGAGGATGAGCAGCGTGATGAATATCATCAGAGGAAATAGGGAAGGGCTGTGGGGGGCAGGCAGGTGGTCTGGGAGGAACTGAAACGATTGAAAAATGTATTCAGCTGCTCCACTTTCTGTAGATCCATACAGTCCACCTTGCTCTTACTGCCACAGCCTGTTATGGTTTTCATTCCACTCCAAACCTCCCGCATGTTGTTATCTCTCAACTTTCTCTCCAGCTTCCTTCTATAAGACTCCTTAGCGTCCCTCAGGCAGATTCTAACTTCCCTCTGTACCTCTCTTATCTTCTCACAATCCCCGCTTCCAAAAACCCTCTTTTTCTTATTCAGAACGTTCTTCACCTCAGCGGTAATCCATGGTTTATTGTTCTCAAAGCACTGGATTGTTCTAACAGGTAACACCTGATCCATGCAAAAGTTCAAATAATCAGTCAGGCACCCCACTGCCCCCTCAATGTCCTCACCATGAGACCCCACCAGTACACTCCAGTCTGTGGTGGAAAAACAGTCTCTGAGTGCATCCTCAGCTTCAGAAGACCACCTCCTGACTTGCCTAGTTGTTACAACTTGTCTCTTCACCACAGGGGTGTATGTGGGCTGCAGGTAGACAAGGTTATGGTCGGATTTGCCCAGAGGAGGGAGGGGAGAAGCTGAGTATGCATCCTTAGTGTTTGCATATAACAGATCTAATGTCCTATTTTTCCTTGTGGTACAGTTGACATATTGATGGAAGGAGGCTAGAGTAGTGTCCAAAGTGACATGGTTAAAATCACCAGATATGAGGAGAAATGCTTCGGGATGCTGGGACTGAAGTGCCGCAATGTTGTTGTGTATGGACTCACGTGCTGTCTCTGCATCAGCCCTGGGAGGTATGTAAACACAGAGCGCGATGACGTGTGAAAACTCACGTGGAACATAATACGGCCGGAGGCTAACAGCTAGCAGCTCCAAGTCCTGGTTGCATATCACAGATTTCACAGTCAGATGGTTCGGATGGCACCACCGCTTGTTTGCATACAGGATAAGGCCCCCGCCTTTGCTTTTCCCGCTAGATCTAGGATCCCGGTCTGCCCGCACGGTGGAAAAGCCGGGCAGGTCTACGTTAGCGTCGGGTACGTGGCTAGTTAGCCATGTCTCACTGAAGATGAGTAGGCTGCTCTCTCTGTAGCTCCTTTGGCTCCCGATCAGCGCGGTAAGTTCATCCAGCTTATTAGATAGGGCATTAACATTCCCCATGACAACAGAGGGAATGGGTGGCTTAAAAATCCTCCGTTTGGCAATATTAGCCTTGATTTTATCCTTCAGTTTGGCATAGTGAGACGTAAAGAGAAGTATGTCAAACCAAACACAAAAGTTTCAAAAACACACGGTCGAGCAAACAGACGTGCAGCCCCCCTCCGCGCAGGCGCATTCAAGTGATAGAAGAATGGAAGCAGAGATAGACCAAACACACAGACCATATGTTTGTATATTGTTGTATATTTGTTCTGCTAAAAATGGAATAAAAAGGGATGTTATCTTGTTATAACAACAACACCTCACTCCCTCCTTAAGAAAGAGTGGTGAGGGAGGGATGAGACAATATTTTCACAAGTGGATTTTCACAATACTTTTTTACAGTGGAAATTTGTACTATTATTTTGTTAAAATGTACGACTTTAAAGGCATAACTTATTTCTTTCCAATTTTTTTTTTTTTACAATTTTGACCACAACATTTTGACCAATCTTGTCCCAAAATCTGTTGTGTTTTGGGACAACAGATTCTCAAAGGTAAACCTATTTTCCTCCCAATCAAATTGGTCAAACACACAAAAAATTATACTGCTTCCAAACTATTTTTTAATTTTATCTATGTTGTTTGCACTAAAACAAATCCAGGAACATAACATACCATTGTGGACAGAAAAAAAATTCGGTAGATTAGCGTCCGATCGGCTGCTTTCTATATCAATAAAACAACGTGTATTTTTGGAAGGGGGGGGCGGGTACCTGAAATTTGGAGCAGAGGCCCATTCCAGAGCGAGACAGGCCAGGTCCACAGCCGCGTACACCAGCAGGAAGAAGATGGTCACGATGCTGGCGATGGTGTTCAGCTTTCCAGAGAAGAGCACCAGCTGCAAAATTTGAAAAATATATATACTGTATATATTGAGAGTAGACAAATGACAAAAAATTGCTCCCAAAAAAATCTGTTTTTTGTTGTTGTGGTATATATTATAACAACAAGAGCTCACTCCCTCCCTAAGAAACAGTATGATTAGCATGGGATGAAGAAAAGCCACAATATTGGGTACACAAAACTAAGAGAATGTGATATTTTGGAGCGGGAATCTATACGATTGTCAGTAGTATTAGTAAAAGTTTATCTCAAAAGCTATATTTTCAAACAAGATACAGAAGAACAATTGGAAAAATGCAGTTTGAAAAGGGTTTGGACGAAGGAAACATTTTTTGGGTTGCAACCTCGCTCACCTACTCACACAAAGCACACACACACACACACACAATGCACAGTCCCAAAACACTCTCTGACCATTCACCTTCCCTCTAATCGCTTCAGGTTAAGGAAATCACACACTCCTTCTGTACTCCATTTTAATGCACTAATTATAATACTTTATATCTATATAATTGAAAGAGTAGAAAAACAAGTTGCCCGGTGATTAAAAAACACATATTATTACAATACAAAATGGAACAATAGCTTTCTACAAACAATCCAGAACAACAGTTTATAGAAATGAAATAATATAAATCTTCCTAATTATTCGGTAATGGCCAAAGTTCAGGATACATCAGGACTTGTAAACAATGAACAATGTGGCTGATGAAGGTCAAATGCTGCAGAATTCTCGCTGGTCCCGTTCGGAAAACTGATTATTCGAACTACAATTACAGCTCTCAGGCTTTGGAGGGGACAGCGGGGGGTCCCAGAGGCGGCAACTGGGGAGCCGCTAATGCTAATCGTCGCTAACTCTCAAGCCTTAATTAAGATTGATATCTGAGCCGCCGCCGTGACAACATGACCCATTTTAGCCACATTCGAGTACTCAGGGGGAGATTTAAGAGCCATTCATTCCACCTGACGGCAAGGAACACTTCGAATGTCAAAAAGTATTACTCCTATATGCATTTCTGACTTGTTCGGAGAAATATACAGGAGCACAGTTTGAATCAGCAGTTTAATAGGAAGTAATAATAAGTAATAGTAAGTAATAATCCTGTTCACTTTTGAATGCGCTGGAAACGGCAGCAAGTCCTAAGTAGCTCTGAAACAGTTGTTGTTTTGTGTTTTACAATTGTTATTTTTCTTACTTTTTTCTACCGGAAATGTTGCTACAGTACAGTGTTCATGGTTTAACACTGGTCCGGACCAGAGATGAGAGGATTCATGGTCGGGGCCAAGTGGATCAGGTGAAAATCCACTGGAGGAATGCTAACTTTCTGAAAAATGCTAATGAGGCATTCAGCATTTTACTTTGGGCTAGAGCAGAGAAAATGGTCCGAACCAAGCGGCTGCTCCACCTCTGCTGCTGTGACCTGAAGTGCTGTTGCTTATTATTACAATTGTTAGCTTTATAGAAGTATCAATTTATTTGTTTTGTTTGTGTGGATGGATGTGTTTTTGCTGCTACTGGACACCTGAATTTCTTCTACGGGGATCAATAAAGAAACTAACTAACTAACTAGATACTGTACACGTGAGAGATGTATTTGATTTCTGAATGGTATAATATTGTTTGGGAATGGAAGTTTTTTGGGGGTTTTTTTTCCAGCCAAATTATTACTGTGTGGAGAAGCTGTTTTTCTTAGTGAGTTAGTAAATTAGTTGACACACGCCCAAGAAGCCTCTCATATTGAAAAATATACTATTTTAAAGATTCAAAGGGTTAGTTAGGCTTCAGATGGACAAATATGCCTAAAACAATTTCATAATGAGAAATGTTTGTAAATTAGGAGTTTGCCATATGATGTGAAATTGAACCAAAAAATCTAAATGTACCTCTTATTTATTAAAAACTATCATTACTCCAAATTACAGCATTTATTAAAGTAGCATTAGCAAATATATTAGAGTAGATTACATTATATAGAACTAGGAATTCCATAAAAACACAAACTTTATGTCCCATGTATGATTACCTCAGTCGTAAAAATAAATATCTAAATAACTATATACTATATATTTACTTTTATCGTTTTTTTCGTCTGTTTCAGGTTTTTTTTTTGTGACATTTTTTTTATAATTGTCTTTCAGTGGTAGACCCAGAAACTCTACATACAAAATAATAACACAATTTCAAACTTTCTGGACTGGATTCGGATTCTTCTCTGCTGATTTGGATGCAGGGAAGTCCATCCTATATGTTGAACCGGGTCTGAACCCTGCAGGGCTAGGGGCACGGAGAGACTTTTAATATAGTGTTGGAATGATGACCCCATTATAAGAAGCGCTCGCTGCCATGTTCTGTGACACCTGCACGCGTGAGGTACCAGCTGCCATCCTTTTTCAATCACATTTGACTCCGTTTGGGTTTTTCCCTCTGGCTCTGGAGTCCAGCGAGTGGTGCTTGTCATTCCAGGAGATTTGTAGTGTAGATCGTTAGCATAGGTCTTGATCAATCTTGTTATAAATCACAAAATGGGTGAATATTCTATTTATAGTATGGATTCAGGGGATTAAAATCAAGGTAAAAATGCTATTCCTCACACAGTCTGTAGAGGAGGCTTAAAGAAGCTATACTCGATTGCTTATTACTACATACACAAATTGTATTATAATCCGTAATCTAATTGATAATTTGAGCTCATTGATTCTAGCCTGGCTCTGCCAGACCCTTGTAGTTCCGCCATGCTCCACCAGAGGCGTTTGGCTGAACCACATGGGTCTGGTATCGACGCCATAGCGAACGCCTTCCCCAGATTATTTTTTAATCGACCAATTAGGATTGCCAATGAGAAGCTTCTCAAGCTTCTCTCATGCAGCAGCGAGAGGAATCCAAGATGGTGGACGTAAAGTCCGCGAATCTTTTTAAAAGAGTAAATACGATCGAATTAAGACACGGATGTCACTTTTAATGCAATTTGAGGCGAGATGTTGACGGTTCTATGTTGATATATGTGTGTTTTAAGAGTCAAATGTTCCTGTAAAGTTTAGTTGAAGCACTGGTTCAGTGTCCTGTTTACACACTATGCAGCAGGGTTGCCAGGTTTGGTGGTTCCCGCATATTTTTTCCAAGAGACTTGTAGGTATTAAATAAACAGAAAGACAATAAACACAATCATGATAGCCCAAGTTGATTACATTACGTTTTTAGCCAAAAAATCATACTGAGTGTTTTATATTTTTGGGGTATTGTCGCGGATTTTGGGTTGGAAAATCTTGCTGGGATTTGGCAACCTATAGGAGCCGTGTGCTTCGATGTGAGTGGTTGAAAGCAGACTTAATTCAAGAACGGACAAGTGGTCTATCCAATCACATACAAGGATTTTTTTTTACAGGATCCTGCCTTCTGAAATCCAACCACTATGGTTCAGTACCAGACTCATGTGTGAAGTGCAGCGAACTACATGGGTCTGGCTAGAGTCAGGCTACATTGATTCAGCTGTGTATGAATTCAGGCCGAATAAAAGTGCTGAGTAGAGACTAGCGGGCCGATCATCGTGCTCCACTCTCAGAACAAGGCTGCGTCCTCTAGTCTCTACAGCGCTGCTAAACACAGTAGCATGTTAGCATAAGTGGCTATAACTCCTCTGGCTGTAACTGCAGACACAGAAAAACAGCCCGAACGACACAACAGTGAGGAAGAGAAGAGGGAACTAAAGCGAGAAAATGATCTAAGAAGAAACCAAGCCCGGGTAAACATAGCTAGCTTACATCATATCCTCTGGAGAGACTTGTTGGAGCGGGACCGTCTCGGAGTATCTACGCTCGGACTACATTCGGACGCAAAACTAGCGGTAATCTTTCAGTAATATGTTTTATTAGCAGTGCGTTGCTTTTGTACCATTTCATCAGTGATTGTTGTACAGCTTAAGTTGCGCTAATGCTAATGTTAGCATCAGATTGCAAATACAACTAGGGGGCTCCGCTTAGTGGAAATGAAAAGCCTGTGAGTGAGTTGGGAGGCCGTGCTAAACAAGCAAACCTTGCAGAAACGGATATAGCTCCTTAAAGGATCGATATAGTACTGTCTGTACTATATTGGCCCTATTTGAGCAATGTGTGTTAACTTTCTATTTTAGTTTAGTGTGTATTTTGTGTAGTATTTGTTGTGTATGAGTGTCGGTTTTCTTATTTTATTTTTTTGGAATAAAATAAGTTACTATCAAAATGTAAAATGCAGATAGAGTATTTTGCAATCACCGATTCTGATGTCATGCACAGTCATCTGAATATGTTTTTAATATGATCATTGGGAGTTTTATTGATCAAAAAACATGGCCTTTAACAGCCACAGTATGAGTAGAGTTTGTAGAGTTTCTCCGGTTTCACCAACCACTAGAATACTTGTGCAATATCCCCGGTAACCATCTCTGTATCCAAAGTATTGTAAAAGTATGAGCCAGAGCGAGTTGGAGAAAAATGTGCCCTATTGGCCTTCATCGAGCTAGCGGGTTAGCACTGTCCGTCTGTATACAGTCGATGGTGTATGCGCAGGTTTTCCCTGGATGCTTCGCTACCCCACACCACTAAAACATACATAATGGGGCTTGTGCATTTATTCACTATCTGTTCATTATCTTCAAACAGATCTACAATCGACAGCAGGATTAATGGCTCAAACCAGGACAGATAGAGACAGTCTTGAATTAAAGAGTTAAAAAATGTTCCCCGCTCAAATATCCCCATCTTTTTTTACAAGATTCCAAGTCTGATCCATTGCCATATTATGAAAAATGATCTTTTTGACCTACACAATTCATAAGCAGCGTACAGAAATATACACAAACTAAATAGCCCCTGGTCTCTCCCACTATAAATTGTATAATGTGATCTAAATGCATAGCTTCCTATTAAGTCTGTGCGGCCATCCGAAAACCTATTAGGTCCGTTAATTACACTTCTCACTATTAGCCTTAATCACTTTAGTATTTCTGCAATTATATTCCCCATTAACAAAAGAAAACCTTTCCTCCTGCCCGCTCGCCTCACGCACACAGGTTGATGAAACGAAAATCTCGCCTCAGGTGTGGTCTCGTTAGTCTTCCTTTTGGGGAAGAGGACGTTTTCTGCGAACATTTCATCACATGAGGGCTATCTTTATCCAGGCCGGCGCTCCTGGGTTTCTTATTGTAGCCAAGAACAAACACTACCCTCTCAATTATTATGTTTTTTTTTTTTATTTCTATGATGGCACTCTAAGGCGCTGTGCTGTGGATTGCGGATTGAGGCTTGGAGAGGATTTTCAGTCAAACAAGGAGGTCGTTTTTTTCTGCGCCGACTTTGTGATCAGGCGTAAAAAGCGCGAGGAGACGAGGTAATGATTTAGAAGTAGATTGATGATAGCGGATTATTGAAAGAACATGACAAAGGGAGCGCTGATGAGAAGGCGATCCGTGGTGAAAAATGGTTTTGAGAGTGGTTGGAGAGTGACCCGTGCCGAGCCAAAGTCAAAGGGTGTCGCTCCGGTAGCTCCCCTGGGATCTGGCTCTAACTAGAACACTAATTAGTCATTAAAACTGCGCGGGTTAGTGACAGACAATGGGGAGAGACAGCGTGTCGAGGTACTTGAATGAACCGTCTCTCCCAGGAGTGTTTGTAAGTGCTTTGATGATTGAAAAACAAAACAGTTTTCAGAGGGCAGTGTCTTACATACCAATGTTTACTCATTGATTACATTTACTTATTAAAAAGAAATTCAGCAAGTTTGTACTTTGTGAAAGATATACTGTGTAACTTTTGGAGTTGGAGTCTGCCACTTTGGAGTTTGCATAAATGTTACACGAAACATAATCATATCCATCTTGCTTATTTTATTAGAATGATATGTAACATTAAAGGCCAAGTGCTTACATTTCCATGGAGACAAGAAGATGCTTATAATAGGTAAGACTTTATTTTTCCACACACACATGCTCAAATATCATCCCAGTTTGGCCGAATTTATAAAATGAATAATTTGACTTCCTGGTTTTATTGATGACATCTCGAGAGGGATTTTTCAAATCAGCCGACTAACAAAAAAGACCAACGCCGAAACTAATAAAAACCTACTAGCAATTAGTTGAGTTAGTTAGTTAAATTTGTCAAAGTTCCAAAACCTGCTTTATTCCTTGTAAATAAAAAAATAAAAATAAAATAAGAATCGAAAAGTCATACACCGACTGTTGCTTCATCAGTGGAAATATAATATTGTATTCCATCAGAAAAAGCTAAACTATCAAATAACAAAGCACTGCAGCAAAGACGTTGGGAAAGGAACAATAGGAAGTAAAAGAATAACAACCACAATCTACAGTCAACTTAAAACTCTTAAACTTGGCCAAGGTTTTGGTTCTATCACAATTGTATTTAATTTATTCATCACATTTATCCAGGGAGGTCTCAAACCAGACTCTATTTTCACAAGTTCCCTGCTCCACACAGAACATAAGCACAATAAAACCGTTACAATGACAATAAAAGCACTTAAATCATAATTTGGTACAAGGGCGTTCATGTCCTCCATAGCTTTTCACTGTCAGCTCCGTGTCCCTCATTCCAAAGTCTTTATCTCATAAACAAAGAAACGTGTTCCACTCATTGTCACCTGCACAAGGACAGTACAGTGATTATGAAAGTTTGTTTTGATTTAGTTTTACGTCTCCAGCTCTTAGAATATTAAAGAAACTTGGGAAATTATCATATTGTACAGTAAATGTTTGCGGTTATAGACCGTAGCTGGATTTGAAAAAGTCAGAAGCAATAAAGTAAAGAAAAAGTTTTGCGATAGACCAGAAGTATTGTCAGATTTTGCAGTCGGATAATCACGTTCAAGGTGGATATATGAAATGTTAATAAATTAAGTCAGATCGTAATTTGAAGCCTGTATGAAATGTGAAAGAAAAGTATTGTGCTCCAGAAAGCTTTTGCAGAGGACCAGCCAGAGTCTCTCATTTGCAAAGTTATTTTTACTTGTTCTATGTTACTTTATCCAACTACAAAATGCTATAATGACCTATTTCCATGGAGCAATATGAATATTTGCACAACAACATAGAAATGGGGCTATACTGCATATCTCTAAATAAACCACACTTGAGATCAACCTCTCTGGAGATGGAGAAGCTGAATGTCTCCACTGGAAGATCACAGCCAACAAACACAAAGCTTTATTGGCATTAGATATTTAGATTACCCCAATGAAGAAATGCTTTTGACCCATCTTTTAATGGACAAACCGATCCAGCTGGCCCCAATGCAACGCCCAAGGACTATAGCTCTTGGTTAAACCTTAAGCTGAATTTCTACATTTCTCTCCAAACAGGCTGTAAATCAGCTGCAGTACATTCAAAATGCAGCAGCTCAAGTCCTGACCAGACCTAGGAAGTACGACCACATTAGTCCAGTCCTCAGGTCTCTGCATTGGCTTCCTGTGGCTCAGAGAACAGACTTTAAAACAGCTCTGCTTGTGTACAAATCTCTCCATGGCCTCGCACCAAAATATATACATACAACTGAGGGATTTTTTATTTTATATTTGTATCTTTCTTTTTAATGTTCTGTGATTATTTACGATTTTAATGCTTTCTTGTTTTGTTCAGCACTTTGAATTGCCTTGTGTATGAATTGTGCTATACAAATAAACTTGCCTTACATGTATTTCTACACATCCTTTCTTCTTGAGGTCTTGAATCCAGGACTTTCTACTCATGGACCTGACTTCTTACAGACGTTTACCTACATTTCATTTTATATTTTTATTTGATAAATCCCTGTTATTGATGTTATTGATTTTAGCAGTCCTCTATCCCCTGTGAAATAGAAGTGCTCAATCTTTTGTCTTTTTCACATCAAATTTCAGAAAAAAAAACCAAACGGGTTAATAAATAAGACTGAATAATTAGCCTGATATGGACATTTCTTCACATTGAGAAAGCTAACTAAAAATGAACAAAGGAGAACACACGACTCTGGCATTGACGTCAAACAGGACTTTCTTGCAGTGAGAAAAGCGAGTGGTAAACGCCGGGAACATGCGTCAAAGTCTTTTCTGTTGAACATTTTACCTTCTTGTTTTCTTTTACATTTCTGGGATATAGGCTGTTTGTGTAATGCTATCCACCTGCAGCCTCTTATCAGCACCAAGTGTGTGAGATTACAATCAGACTTTTGTCATCAGCGGATCCTTCAAACGGTGGAGGAAGAGGCAGAGAGAAAGAATGGGCCGGTCAATCATCTCTGATGGGGGCTAACGATTTTAGCCTAATCGGCCCTCGTCCTCACACTCCCGTTGGGAACTGCTCCAGTAATGACCAGCAGTCTAGTCACATAACACTCACCTCTCATAATGATGGGATTGACTTTTGCTCAGTGTTTTCACCCACGAAATGTAAAGCTTTTCACTTATCAAACTTTGAAGAATGCATGTTTTGTTTGAATGGAAAAAAGAACTGTGCTCTGAGGTCGGGATATCTTTTGGGAAAACGGTATGCTATTAATATTAACAACTGCTACAGCGGCAAAAATGACTAAATATTTGACATTGCAGCAGCACATAGACAACTTGAATAGGATATAGAAGTTTTCATGTCTCACCTGAACAAGAAACCAGGAGATGAGCACGGACATCCAAGGGTTACCGCTGTGTGACGTCTTCTTGGCCGGTGACAGGGCCTTTCCTGAAAAATAAAAACCAATACACTGAGTCAGAGGCATAAAGGTCCATGTAACTCTTGGCCATTTTGATTATGGTTTTTGAATGGTAAGCCAAAAATCTGACAACATTTTTCAATTTCTAACAGAAAGGACTGAAAGGTGCATTCAAAGACTTCTTCTCTGCGATGACTTTAGAGAGAGCGTCCGGGTTTACAGGTTCAAACTAGACTCGGCGACGTGGATCACAGCTGCGTCAGGCTCGTCACCATCAGCACCTTTTGTATACAGTCGTCAACAGAATGATTTGATATTTTCATAATGTCTTGTTTATTTGTGGCTGACTTTTAGGTTTGGATTTTAAAGTTAGATTTTGTTCAAGGTGCTGCTTATTTCCTTAATATACAAATACATAACAGCAGAATTAACTCTGCACACAACCGGAAATCTATATGCACTGTTCCAAGAAGATGTTGTGTAGGCCTTAGGGAAATGTGACTGGTGTGGTACGTATGAATCAGACCACAAATAAAATTCACATTAATGAGACAATTGTTTGCAGAGTCGTGCAGAGTCTAAAGCTGGCATCATTGTCTGTGAAGCGCAACTGAACTACTTAACCCCAGCAGAGGCTTATCACCATCATTTTTAGTCCAATAAATGCCATGTACGCTAAGAATGTGCAAGTCAGAGTTATGTGTGTGTTCTCCCCCCTCCCATCTGTATGCTGGGCGGAGTGAAATCCTGGTCCTGGCTTTGGTTCAACCCTCTTTACACCTACAGCCCATCATCCTCATAATCTACACCTCCTGCAGTATAATTCAGTTCAATTTCAATGTATTTTTGCATAGCCCTAAATCGCAACAGTAGTTCTCTCGCACGACTGTACAAAACTGTAGATTCGGCAGACACAGATCAGAGAATCAAACAGTTCTAACACAAGAAATGCACTAATATAACAAAATATACATATATAGACCCGGTTGCCCATGTCCCAGATCGTCAGTAAATCCTAGATGATTTTTCTGTTGGTCCAGATTGAGCTTCCCTAACTTGCCTCCAGCCATCAGCCTCTATAAACCCAGTCAAGCAGTGTTCCTTTTTGAATATTTCTGTAATTAACCCTGTAATTAACAACTAGACCTAAATCTAAAGTCTGTCCGTCCGTCGAAGCAGATCTCTCTCTCAATGTGGGCCTCGCTGAGGTTTGTCACTTTTCCCACTGGGTTTAGAGTTTTTGCTTGCCGATCCAGGATGGTCATTTATCAACGTTTATGGACTTGAGATTGAACTGATTGATTCTCTGATCTATGTTGTGTAAAGTCCATGAGAAAACTACTGCTGTGATTTAGAGCTATACAAGAATAAACTGAATTGACTTGAACCTTAATTTCTTCAGACAATTTGCCGGTTCATGTTTGTCGTTACAGCAATATATTAATAAATGCAGGAAATCGTCTTCTTCCACCCATCCTTCAAAGCATCTGGAGTAATATTCCGGCCAGGTCAGATACTGTTTACTGAACTAGAGAATTAATTACCAACATGAATTGCTTCTGAAACTATGACCAACATGATACAAAACTTTCTCAATTTACAACATAACAACTTCTCCTCAAGTTTTTGTGTGGCATCGCTGAACATTTCCCGTTTGTGTAACCCATCAGATTTAGATTAGTCGCAGCAGTTTTAATGTTACTGACATTTAAACACAAAGAAAAAATCTGTAATGAACTACATCTTTGGAGGAGCGAGGCTGGGAGAGTGAGTGGGCGGCCTGTACAGCTCTGCCCATACTAAGCCGACATAATTATTTGAGAGAGAGGTTTAAATACAGCCATGTGACGATTTTGACATTCGTGACGTGGTTCTGTTCTGCAGAGGCTTACGGCAAACGGAATGAAAATATACTCCAAAAGAATGTGACGGGGGGAGGGAGTGGACTGGGGGAGTTTTGAAGGGTGAATTTCAGAGGGGAGAAATTAAAAAAGGAGGAGATGGGAAAGTAGAATAAATGCAATGGATGAAAGATGGAAGGGGCGAATATTAAACTTGGAGACACTGCAGAGAGTAGTCAAACATGAGAGAAAAATTTAATCCGAGAAAGATAGAGAAGTAGGGATGAGTGACCTTTTTATTTTTATTATGTTTATTTATACAGGGAGAGGCTCAATGAGAGTTTTCATGATCACCCCGTACCACAGGAGGGCTGGGTATCTTCATTGTCTAAAATTCCGCCCCATTTTAACAAAAATACAAAACTGAAAGCATTTAAGTTTTTTATTGAAAATTATTTGTTAACATTTATAAGTTTATATATATATAAACAAATATATTTTGCAAGATTGTCTTTTTGAATTTTTAACCAACATTCTTCCCTAATCAAAAACATATCTCGAGTTGTGTTTAGCTCTATCCTTGCTAATGTCAGGTATTCCCCGCACAGTTCCCCATCGCTTCCTCTGTCTGAATGTTTTTCTAACCATGACAAATCCTTAGACTGTAACGTCATATCCAGATCTGTTTTCAATCAGACCGTGCCATTCTAGACTTTACTAAAATAAATATAGAACTGGTCACAGCACCTGACAAAATCTACTTTATGATGCAAAAGTCAGCATTCTCAAGAATCACTACAAAGAAAGCATTGTGTTGTTATTTAATATACAGTTAATAATGACTGTAAATTATGTATTGTGTATTTTTTTTGTGTGCACATTATGTAGAAGGTTAATAATGTTAATCACAGTATAAATAATGTCCAGTACTATCGCTTTCAATTCTGTATTTATTTTTGTACGCCAATATATTTAAAAGATTAGCTGGGATTACCATGCAAATCTCTTTATCGACCATATCGAGTATAGAAATGAATAGGAACAGTGGAGAAGGCACTGAGAGGGAAAGATCAAGATAAATAGACAGGAGAAAGTACTAAAAGAGGAAGGGGACGAGGGAAAGGGAGGAAAATAAAGACATGTTAAGAGGAAATCGCAGCGGTGGCGTGTGCAGGGTGGAAGACGTCAGAGATTAGTGTGTTGAAAGAGAAGAAAGCACGAGAGGATGAGTGGAGACAACAACAAAGTGACACGTCCATCAGTCAGCCGCGTAGGACAGAGGCAAGGTTAAGCACCGAGACGCATGCATGAATGACAACGCCTCACACGACTCAATCCTGACAAATCAACACGTATCTAAACGTCTAATTAGTTAGAATGAGAAAAAGTTACATTTGAAGTCTCCATCTAAAGCTTCAAAAGTAGTTCTGAGAATGATGTACGGCTTAGATCATAAAACTTATGTGAAAGCATGATTTTGTGAGGTCTACACACCAACTGGCCTCCTACATGGCGTCATGAGCATCAGTCAATAAGATGTCAAAACTTGTCCAAATTTAGGCCAAGAATGCAAGAAAAGCTAGATCTTATGACCATTGGGAAGACTGGCTTCACTGTAAATTACATACTTCTACTTCTGGTGACTTCCTTCAACTAAGTATCCAGTCTGGTAATCCTTGCATCATTTATGTTTTGCATATGCTACACTGTCTTCCTATATCTTACAGAAGTTTAGATATAGACTTATGAGCGTGTTTGGATAATTCAGGACCATGCCTTCAGTAGGCATCTATTCACTGTCTTTCTCTAGTGCAGGGTTATGAAGCAACAGTTTGATTTGTGAAAAATAATCAATTAAAAAGGATTAGGGTTAGGGTTGATGCATAAACTGTAAATATTAATGGACGCAGTGACGCTTATTTCCTTTGTAGAAATTTATTTGTGATCAACATGCGCCTTTTCAAAATGGCTAGGAAATTGGTGCAAAAACACATTTGCACATGTGTTAGATGGCACAAGCCTGACACATAGCTGAAAAAAATTGTTAATTCAAAAGTCCACAGCGGCTAAACTGTCGGCTTAGCTGGTCCAAAATAAAAATACCCCCCTCAGCATTGATGCGCATCTAGAACATAGCATTAAGACAAGAGCCGACTTTTGGACCGGGCTGTTTTTGAGAGGAAAAATAGGGACATAAGAATGCATTGGATGATAATGTTTCCGGGTACACCCCCACAGGCAAGGAGCCAGATTGCAAGCATGTCAGCGCACATGCTGATGGACCTTTTTGAGCCGGGACCCGCCCTTACTGGTTTGATGGGGCCATGAGAATTGATGGGGCCGCTTCATACAATATGATATGAAAATTGCCCGCTATTATCGCCATGACAATATGTTTGTGATATCACAACCAGCCCTAAATCATAATTTTTTTCAGATTCATTTACATGTTTTTCTTGTAATCAACGCGCTGCTGACTTCAACCCCCTGTGGAGCTCCCCCTGCAGGTCTAAACACACCTTACAGCCCTTGTACTGTCTATGCAGAATTATAGAAAAATTATCGATTCTTTCAACACTAGTGACAGATCACACATTCACTTTGCCACGGACAGTGACTCTTAACGAAGGAGAGTCATCTAATTGAGATTAACCATTTGGCAACCGGACGAAAAATACGACTTTTCCCCCTGGAGGATCTCGAGCTAATGCAGCCATTTATCTCCTCTGTCACGCAGACACAGAGGGACAGTAACAGATTAAATCCATCCGAAATAGACTTAACAAAAGAGCGGAGTGTGAGTGGATATAAAAAATGAGAGCGGAGCAGATAGCATGAGACGTGCTGTTCATTTGATACGAACCAGTGGAATCCTAATTACAGTTAATTTAAAACTGCACTAGCATAAAATCAACCAGGAGGATCTCTTGTCAACTGCTTGCTATGTTGGCGTGCAGGATATTGACTAAAAATAAACATATAGATTTCTAAATGGATTATTCTGAGGGTGAAAAACAGGTCATGTATTTTGTAAGTCACCAACGTTGACTTGTGAATGAAGAAAAAGCAATGTTGTATGGGGTTATCATAGCACCCCAAGTCAGATTTTTCCTTAAAATTAAGTTATGTTGGAGTGACATCCTTTTCCGAGCCCATTTGTCTGATCTCATAAATAAACACGCATTGTGGTATCCATCCATTTTCTACCCCTTAATCCATTTCTGGGTCGGGGGGGTGGCCATCAGAGATGCCACCAAAGTCACATATCACCAGCCCCTCACTGATCCTCCTGCAGGTGGTGAGTCCACAGGAGGACGGCTGCTCTGTATGTGTAAGCATAACCTTTCAGCGGGGGTTTCAGGCAAAGTGGGGTTAAGTGTCTTGCCTAAGGACACAACGACAGCAGACCATAGTGGGAGTCGGTGGAGAAGGTGTCGAGGTGGGATCGAACCCACGACCTTCAGACCTAAAGGCAAAGAGGCTAGAACAGACCACTTATTAAAATTATTAAAATGATTTTGCACATATTATACTATTGTTACGCACAGAAATGCAATTTTTCACACCATTTGAACGTTATCGATGTCCTGGCAATGTCAAAAGTCTTGGATTAACCATTTAATTTCATGTCATTATCCTTTTTATATTCACGACACAATTTCAGTTTTATTGCATGATTCATGTAGACTAAACACCTTTTGCTGAAAGTTCACAGTTCTTTGCGATCGGCTTTTGACCAGCAGGCTGGGTAAGTAATAGAAAAAAGCCTGTGTTAAACTGATTTATCAATATTGGTCAATGTCTCCATGGATCATCAACTGGATAGTTGGTCAACCGATTTTACACTTCATACATGTGTGTTCTATGTGTTAAGCTTCCCTACTGTGATCTTATATTCATTGGAGATATCGTCTAGAGCAGTGGTCTCCAACATTTTTTGCCCTGTGTACCCTCCCTGCAGCAAAGTTAACACATAAATACCTCTTGTTATTACAAAACATCTTCCCAGTCAGAAGCTGAGCAGCACCCAGTGTATACTGGTGCTCTGACTGCCACCCCCCGACCCAGAAATAGATAAAGGGGAAGAAAATGGATGGATGGATGGATCTTCCCAGTAAAACGCATTTTGGTAGTTTTTTTCAGACTTTAGATTGCACCAACTTCTCCAACGTTTGTGGAAAGCTTGTTTATAACTTCTTTATCTGATTAACGAATTCAAGTGTTATCATATATTTCAACCACATGATTATGTTTATTTAAATTTCTGACCAAGGTGAATCCATTCTGCCTTTTTTTGCCTACACCAAAACTGGATCATAAATAAATGTAAAGCTTGTCATAGCAGACTGATGGAGTAAGTATTATTTATATAGTTTTAATTCTGTTGTGGGTTCAATTTAGAATAGAAAAAGCCAGATCTTGTGAAAGCCAGATCCCGTCAGACCTCTGAAGCTGTGCAGTGCAGGGCCTGGTTAGTACTGTGATGGGAGACCTCTAGGAACTCCAGGTGCCAAAGTGGGGCAGCTGTGGATGTAATGTGCCAAACTGCCGTTGTGTCCTGAGGCAAGACACTTCACCCACAGTACCTAGAAAGAATTTGGTGTGTGTGTACGTGCGTGTGTGTGAATGGCTGGTGGTGGTAGGAGTGTTGAGTGTTACGTACCAAACAGGTCGTCCCGGGCCAGGGCGTAGAGGATGCGAGAGGCTCCGATCAGGTTACTCATGGCAGCAGAGAGAGTGGAGGAGTAGACCCCGATAGTGACAAATGGACCCCAGATGTTTATGTCTCTCAGGAAGCTGTAGTCCTTCTGAAGCAGCAGTCTGTGGACAAAACACACACATGGCTATCAAATATCACATTCAAATTTGAGCATGGGTCATCATTTATCTCCTAAATAATAAGAAATCTATATGTCATCAATATACAGAATGCCTGGTCACCTCATGAAATCATCAATCAACAAAATCAAAATGTAGCTTTATTAAATTCCCCTGATTCCTGACACATGTGATAACTAATTGAGATGTAAATGAAATCAACAAATACAGTATGTGCTCTATTCATTTATTGCTTCTTTAAATTATCTCACTCAGTAAAAAATGAAACAAAAGTGGCCTCATTGAAGAAAGGTCAGACACATTTTAGATTGTAGTTTCACGCTTACTTGAATAAATACATCATAAGTTTCAGGCCAAGATTCAACATTCTAGATTCTACATTCAAGAATATAGTTGCCATTTGCTGTAATATTTTCCCAGGTTCTAGGGTTGACTAGACTCTTGAATAATAACGTCACTTTCTTTAATGATTGGACTCAACATCAAATCCAACATCACCGCACCGCTTTCTACTGTGAGTCAAACCCTGACACATTCTCCAACCACAATCGCCAAAGTGTCCAGAGCAATGGAACCATGAGTAGAGTGTTGATTTTCATGTCAGGCTGTTGATAATAAGATCCGCCATTCAGACTCCAGCGGTTTTCCCTGCCTGTGTGCGTATAGCTTACGGCGACGCGAGACATCAGCGCTTTCCAAAAACCCAGCAGGGGCCATGTGATTACCGCCAGCCCCCCACCACTATTCAATATGAGAGCAGGGAATTAGAACTCTCTCCCTTTCTTTCTCCCTCTCCTCACTCTGTCTCAATCTGCGTCCCTATTTCGATCGCCCCATCTCGCCTCCTCCCTCCCATGTTTTTAAAAGCCCTATCTCATTGCTTTTGCGTCCATTCAATTGAACTTTCTGCCATAATTACAAATCGGCTCACGTTTTATTTCAGGTCCAGTGGTTCTAATACTTATTATCACGGCCTTATTAAGTATTGTTCAATCGGTCTAAAAAAGATTTGAACACAATGTTATTTCACTGGAAGTCCCCCCTCCCGAGAGGCTGCACATGCACTGCACGAACTCGAAGTAGTTTCCATTAACTCGAGTCAGCGAAATAAAAGGTTTTGTATGGACAGTAAAGCTAACACGGAAATGAGAGAATGCGAGTGGTTGGTTAAGTGCGCAAGAGTCGAGACCACTTCAAAGATGAATATATTTGAGGAGTCAACCATTCTCTGGTCTCATCTTACTGTGATCTTAATATTTCCAGCTTTCAAACTCATGTTTCTGAGTAAACCATCACATTATGCTGCTGTAAAGAATAAATTGCATCATTAAAAAGTGTATATTATATTTGTTCTTGTAAGATGTCAGCTACCTGCTCGCACATTGAGTGAGATATTCTGCAGTAGATACTAACAAATTATTTAAGTTTCTTTTCCCACCTGTTTTTGCATTACTGGTCATTTTCATTCCGGTCACTTGCTCGTTTATACACATCGTTACAGAGCACTAACTTTACAGCAGAAAGACTGAAAAGTTGTAGGCTGGAGGTGAAACTAATGCTTATTTTGCCTATCCGTAACCTATTTTTTGTTTCTTTGTTTGATTGATTGATATTTATGTTACTTAATATCAGAAGTTGAAATTCAGACACAGGGCGTAAGTACACTTCTGGTTTCAACTGTATCTTAGCAGGATTTCAGGTTTTTTTATGGCTAAAACATTACTCCATGAGACATTGGACTTGGGGCAGCATGGCAGCACTTGTGCTTCACAGCAAAAAGGTCCTGGGTTCAATACCACCTCCAGACGGGGCCTAAGTTTGCATGTTCTCTCCTTGTCTTGTTAGGTTTCCTTCTTGTGCACCGGTTTTCCATATCACTGAAAACATGTAAATCTCCCTTGTAAGACCCTCACTGATCTCACTCCCTCTCTCTCTAGGGCCAGAATTCTCGTGAAAAAGATTCTGGAAACTCAGTGTGACTTTCCCGGTTCAAAAATGTCAATCCAGCTATTTCAAAAATCACTGTTGTTTCTAGGATATTTTCTTTAAACATTTCACTAAACCTGCCACTTGAATGAAGTGAAGCTAAATCTTGACCAGGGGTGAAGTAACTTTTCACACACTTGTTGAAGAGCACGTCTGAAGCATTATAAATCAAATGTTTACACACACCACAGCTTTAATCAAAGGTTTAGACTTTTGACGGAAAAACAGCAGAGAAAAAACATCCGTCAGTGGTTGTGTATTTGCATGTTCACGCTCGGAGGGCCACACGCTGCGACCGTTTTGTGAGAAAGAAGTGAAAAATTAAAGGTGCTTTTGAGGGAGACGTGAGCGATGATGTGGTCCAAAATTTATGGGCTAGATATTAATTTCTCTGACGTGTGGCGGACGCAAAAAATAAATCGGGAAAAGCTTGGCATTTCTAAATGGGCTTTCAAAAACAATAGCACTGACAGTCGTGACAAATGTGTGAAGCGGCGGCCACGCATCAGCCCATTATGCGGAGAACGTTCAGCGGGACAGTTTCGGTGAATGAGAAAACTTACAAGTATTTATAACCCGTGTCATTAGTGCAGTAAGAGAGCAACGTGACTGGGAGAGTACGAGAGTGTAACCTTTAATTATATATTGCTTCTGGAGATCTGTAAAGAGCTAAAAAATGTGCTGTATTTTCCGTTTCCACATTCACACCGACAGAAAGTTATTCTCGTTTCAAAAAAGTATCTGACATTTATTTGATATGTAATTTTCTCTTTGTTCATCCATTTGATTCCATTTTGTTTTCCTGCTGGGACAATAACGCAAAAAGCTATCTGCGGCAAGGAAAGTGACATGTGCCAAAATGTAAAGTGAATTTATACAGTTTTAAATTAATAAACAATGTATTATTATTTTCTTTTTTCTACTTTCAATACAACAACCTTTCATTTTCATAAATGTTTATTTTGAACAATAGACTGTATTTTGTAGCTCAATATATTAACAATAATTGTATGTGGCTTTACTGATTTACAGTAGTTTAAAATGTGTCAGAAAATGTTCAATAAATGTCAAATGTTATGTGTCTATATTTTCATTTAGTATTCATACCTGCTCAAATTAGTTTTGATACTAGTTTTATCATCAATCTGATTTTTATTCAAGCATAAATGTATTACTATTTTGTGTTAAATGTTTTGTTGTTGTTTGTATAAACTTGTTTTATATTGTTTATTGTATGTACTGATTGGATCCATAATAATGCATTGCCTCACATGTCATTATTCATTCACTTCGTACATGTTGACGATAATCTAGTATTGTTGCCACGGCTGCCCCGGGACAGGCTGACAGAAGCGAGACAACATCATTCAAGTCTCAACTAAGATAAGGTGTCCATCGGCGGTACCCCCGTGGTTTCCTGCTCCCGGTGCGGCGCTTCGGGGCACACGTCCCCCCTCTGCCCGGGCATCCCCTTCGGACACGTCGGGGGCGAGATGTCCAGGCCTCAAGGGCCGCCTTCCCGTGCGCTCGGCGCCGGCCCCGCCTCCGTATGTAATAAATTCAATATGAGCGTGTGCTCCTTCGGTGCGTGCTCTTACCTCCATGTGTGCAGTCTGTGCAGGGAGGCCCACCCACGCTTCCTGTGTCCGCGGCGCGGCCAGCAAGGCCGCTTCGAGGGGCCTTCTTCCAGGCGCTGACCAGGGCCCACCTCTCGACCCCGGTCTCCGTGCACGGGCTCGCCCGCGCGCTCGAGCTCCATCCTGACCGGGTCTTCGTTCAATTCCTCCTGTCTGGTCTGGCCCACGGCTTTCTCGTGGGCGTCGAGGCCCTCCCCTCGGCGTCTCTCGTATCCCGCAACCTCCTCTCAGCTTCCCGTGAGCCCCAGGTCGTTACGCGGCTTCTGGCACGGGAGGTGTCCCTGGGCTACGTCATCGGCCCTTTTTCCAGGCCCCCCTTCGCCCTGTTCCGCTCCAACCCGTTAGGCATCGCCACCCGTAAATACTCTGGGAAGAAGCGTCTTATTTTCGACCTCTCCTGTCCCCGCTCCGGGCCCACCCCGAGCATCAACAGTCTCATCCCTCTAGCGCCCTTCTCCCTGCAGTACGCTACCGTGGACCATGCGATCAGGCTGATAAAGACTTTCGGCCCCGGCTCCTGGCTTTCCAAGGCCGACATCACGGACGCGTTCAAGCTGCTGCCATCCACCCCGACCACTGGCACCTGTTCGGGGTAAAGTGGCGTTCAGAATTTTTCTTTGCCGTGCGCCTCACTTTTGGCTGCCGGAGTAGTCCCTCTCTGTTTAATAATCTTGCGGAGGCGCTGTGCTGGATCCTGCTTAATCATGTACGGCTCCCCTCCGTCTTACATCTCCTCGATGACTTTCTCGTCGTAGACCCACCCTCGGACGGCTCCGGGAGCTCCCTCCGTAAACTCAAGCTCGCTTTCTCCGCCCTAGGAGTCCCCCTCTCCGAGGAGAAGACCACAGGCCCCGCCACCGCTCTGGAGTTTCTCGGCATCCGCCTCGACACACGCGCCATGGAGGCCTCCCTACCGCTGGACAAACTCAAGCACATCCGCGCTTCCTCCCGGTCCGCCCTGTCATCCCCGTCACTTTCGAAGCGTCAGTTGCTCTCCCTCCTCGGGCATCTTAATTACGCCATCCGCATCGTTCCTCAGGGTCGTTCCTTCATTTCCAGACTCCTCTCCCTCGCTGGCTCCGTCTCCTCCCTCAATGACGCGGTCTGCCTGGACGCGGGGTGCCGCTCCGACCTGGCGTTCTGGTCCCGCCTGCTGAGCCGCTGGAATGGTGTCTCTTTTTTATACAGTGACGTCGTCCTATCCTCGGATGCCCTGCGGTTCTTCACAGACGCAGCCCCGTCCGTGGGTTTTGGGTTTTTTTTCCAGGACCAGTGGTTCGCCGGGCCCTGGCCCAACGCCTTCCCTCAAAGCATCTCCTCCGCGCTCCACGAGATATATCCCGTGACCGTAGCCTGCGCGCTGTGGAGCCATACGTGGCAGAGGAAAAGGATTTCCGTGATGTGCGACAACCTCGACGTGGTCGAAATAATCAACAGAGGTCGTTCATCCTCTCCCCAAATCATGTCTTTTCTTAGACGCATCACATGGCTCTCAGTCCTGAACAATTTTATCATCACTGCTCGTCACGTCCCTGGTCACCTTAACTGTATCGCTGACTCTCTCTCTCGTTTCAAATTCCAGGAGTTCCGACGCCTCTGCTCTTCTGCCAACCCATCGCCATGCCAGATCCCCTGCATGGAATCCCTCGCCCTGGACTAGTCCCTCCGTCTCTTCGCCTCCTCATCTCCTCCGCTGCATCCTACATGAAGATGGGCCTCTCACCTTCCACTCTGAAATCATACAGTTTCGCTTGGAAAGTCTACTCCAGCTTCTGTCACGCCCACTGCATTCCACTCATTCCGCCCTCTGCTGTCACCGTCTGCGCCTTCATAGTTCACTGCGCGGATAATCTCCACTATAAAATCACCTACATTCGCTCTCTACTCGCCGGGATACAGTTCCAGGCCCGCT